CGCCCCATTCAGCAGCGGGCCCACATTTTCCCTCGTCTTCCTTTTGCTCTTGATGTATTTGAAGAACCCCTTCTTGTTGTCCTTGACATCCCTTGCCAGATTTAATTCCAGCTGGGCCTTAGCCTTCCTTGTCGCATCCCTGCACGCTCTGACAACGTCCCTGTATTCCTCCCAAGTGGCCTGTCCCCTTCTCCACATTCTGTACACTTCCTTCTTCTGCTGGAGTTTTGCCAGGAGTTCCTTGCTCATCCCTGCAGGTCTCCTGCCCGCTTTGCTGGACTTCTTCCTCAGAGGGATTTTGCCAATTTTGCCAATTTTCGGTTACAAAATAGGGGAATTGTTCCTGTTTCTTTAACAAATCATAGTTATTTCCCTTCCAGTTTTCCCCTTCTGTGTTAAAATTGGACTACAGGACAAATAAAATCTGTCAAATCACTGAGGAAAATATTCCATAGCAACTTTAAATCCACTGGGATTGAAAAGAAAAGAAAAACGCATATAAGGGGATAAAAGGGACAAGAACTCTGCTCTGACCTAGCTAAAGCATGATAAAGGTTTGTGAAAAAACATTTGGCTTGAGCACTGAATTATTAATCAGGAAATTACTTCATGTCATTAAGAGGGGATTAACATTAATCATTCCTAATGGCAAGATAAGACAGGAGCGTTGACTAGCGTTATTAATACGGTGCTGACAAACCAAAGGTCAAGCATCACCCATTTAAGTAAAGGGTTGAGAAAGAACTGACTCTATACTCTTTTTTCTTATGCATCTTTATTTAGATACCTCAGTCCTAGTATTGCAAGCAGAGTCATGCAGGAACTACTTTTTAATATATCAACATTTTTCTTCAATGTCTGACAATACATTTTATTTCCTACTCTAAGATAGGGTTCTTCTTCAATTTTCATACAGAATCTCCCACAGATGTCAAGGAACAGTGCTACACAAGCATTTAAAAAACAGTACAGTTATCTGGAGTTAAACAAGGATTCCCCTTCAAACAAAATAAATTTGGTAGATACAGTACCTTCTTCATCCACAGAAACACTGCGTATTATAATAGGACTGGAGTATGCTGGCAGTATCAATGGTAAATTGGATGGTACAGCATAGCCACAGGGCACAGGAACAGAATATCCACTGCACAAGTTAGGACTTGTACTTTCATCTGGAGGGCTTGGTTCTGGTGATGAGGAGAGATCCTTTTCTTGGATTGGTGAAATATTAATAACTGAATAGGGGTTTACTTTTGTTGGAGTGCACTCTGTAGTAGACTGTGATGTCTGCGTTTTCTCACTTTTTTCTAAATTACCAGTCCCTTTATTTGAAAAATGAAAAAACAAAAAATAAGGTTTTATTTTTCATATTTGAGCCTCACTTTAGAAGGAGCTTGCAGTCTACAACTCATAAAATTCCCACAAAGGAAAGTAATGCTGTTGTCCCCATTCTACAGATGGGGAATGCAACAGCAGCAAAACAACTGGGTCATGCTGGAAGTCTGTGGAAGAACAAAAACTGGATTCCAGGACTCCTAAATCTTAGACAGGAGGAAGGCTGACAGGCGTTAGGGTCTCAACGAGCACATGGTTGAAAATAGCCTTTAACCCTTAAGTTTAAAATCTGGATTCTATATGAATTTGTGTCATATATGATACAAAAAACATTTTAGTAATAGCTATGAGAAGAAATAAAAAGTTCACTAGAAGTTCACTCCTTAAAGAACATTCCTGAAAATATTCTGCTGATAAAAGGAGAAAGAAACTTTCCACATTTTCGTCCTTAAAAATAAATTATTTCCTGATATCTCTTGAGACTAGCTGAGTTATAGTGGAACTAAAGGCCACTTTAAAATCAGCTGCAGAACTGAAGCCCAAATAATTAAAAGTTCATGAGATTTAGCTGCAACTTCACAAAAAGATGAATGAGCAACAATAAAAATTTTCAGGGAAAGGTAGTGCTTAAGTTCCAAGTTGTCACCTAAAGAGTTATCTGTCTCTAACTGCCATGAGCACAAAGACTCTGTTTACAAAAGGAAACCGGACTGAAGTTAGTCACATTAGCTGCTGTGGGGCTGAGCAGAATCCAGTGATTTCCAGAATACGCTCTGGCACAGAGAGCATCTGCATGTGTTATAACAAAGTCTAAGGGTTAGTAAAATACAACATCAGTTTATAAATAAACTGCTGACATTCTGATTCCACTGGTTTCTATATACATATCCTCTTCAGATCAGCAACCATCGCGCCTGGCTGTGAAAAAGGCTTGTCTCAAGCCATCCGCATTCAGCTGCAGTTGCAAGGGCATAAAAGTTTCCCTCTAACTCAGCACCACAAGTGAGACAAGATACGCTGGTTCGAATGTCACAGGCACATGGAAAACCTCACAGAAGTGACACGACCTGTTCAGTTGCCTTGTTAAATCTATCACGGGCGTTAACTAGCAGGAA